TGTCCTTACACAAACTCACTCAACTTGGCCTCTGATGCAGTCCAGTGGTGCAGTAGACCCAAGACTGTTGCTGACGTAACACAGCAGACTCTTTTACAGTAAACGATTCCTTCAACAGCAATACAGTCACTGATTATCACTACGAAGCACTGCATACTCTTTACTATTCTATGCGCTGTGCTTTTACACGACTGGCAGCGGAGCAGGTGTGTTTACACCAGCGTCACCACCGACACGTGGGTAAAGCGTTGCACTGCAATGTTATGGGAACCACCATGTCACCAGGCACTGGAACGCCTCAGCTCCATTACAATCTTATGTGAACATCACTGCATATGCAGCCTGCCACTGACCAAAACATTGTTATGTGGCCCAGGGCAGTATTGGAAAAAACATAGTATAATAAGGTTTGGAGCTGGGTGTGGTGAAGCACGCCTATAATCCCAGAACTCGGAACACTGAGGCAGGAGAATCATGAGTTTCAGGCCAGTTGGGGTTATATAGCGAGTCTGAGGCCAGCCTTTGCTACGTAAGTGAGACCCTATCTCAAAAAAATTGGGGAATGGTACTATCCATGGTTTCAGGCATCCACTGAGGGTTTTGGAATGTTTTCCACAAGACAAGGGGAGGGGATTACTGTCTGTCTGTTAGACGTGATTGGTTTTTTGTTTTCTTTTAGTCTTCTATTTTCCTTACTGATCTTTTTCTGCTTGTTTTATCCATTATTGATAGTAGGGAATTGAAGTCTTCAGCTATTATTGTGGAACTGTCTAATTCTCCTTTCAGTACTGCACATTTTTGCTGCATATATTTTGATGGTCTCTCCTCTCCTCTCCTTTCCTTTCCTCTCTCTCTCCCTTTCTCCTTCTCTTTCTCTCTCCAGTACTGGGTTGAACTCAGGGACTTGAGCTTGGATGTGCTCTACCACTTGAGACACTTCCCCAGCCCTTTTTGCTTTAGATATTTTTCATATAGGGTCTCATGCTTTTCTTCCCTGTACAGTCTCATACTGAGATTCTTTTACTGATACCTCTTATGTAGCTGGGATTACAGATGTGACCCACCACACCTGGCTTATTCTTTGAAACAGGGTCTCACTAAGTTTTTTTTTTTTTCTGTCCAAAGTGCCCTGAAATCTTAATCCTATCTCTGCCTTCCAGCTAGCTAGGATTATAGACATGAGCCACCACAACTGACTATATTTTGATGGTCTCTTATTAGGTGCATAAATGTTTATGATTCTTAAGTATTCTCACTACAATGAACCTTTTATTAGTAAATAATATCCTTTGTTTCTAATATCTTTCTTAAGACTATTTTGCCTGATATTTTTAGGCCATCTCTGTTCTCTTTGGTGTACTATTTGCATGGAATATTCTTTTCCATTCTTTCACTTTCAACCGATTTGTGTCTTTAGATCTGATGTGAGGTTTTTTTTTTCTTTCTTTCTTTTGTTACTGGGGTTTGAACTCAGGACCTCATGCTTGCTATGCAGTTGCTCTACCACTTGAACCACTCTGTCAGTCCTCTTTTACATTGGGTTTTTTTCAAGATAGGGTCTTGAGAACTATTTGCCTGGGCTGGCTTCAAACTGTGATCCTCCTGGTCTCGGCTTCTCCAGTAGCTAGGATTATAGGCATGAGCTGCTGGAGCCCAGCTCCTGGAGTGATTTTCTTATAGAGTATATAATTAGAGCATTTTTTGGTTTTGTTTTGTTTAAGAAAAATATGGTTTTGCCATGTAGCCCAGACTGTTCTCAAATTCATGATCATTTGGTTTCAGCCTTCTGAGTGCTGGGATTACAGGTGTGTACCAAAACACCTGGCTTAAAGCATTTTTTAAAAGAACTTTTTTTTTTTTTTTGCAGTGCTGGGTATCAAATCCAGGACTTTGTTCATGCTAACCACATGTTCTCCAGTGAGCTATGCTCCTGGCCTAGATCATGATTTTTTATTTTTGGTGGTACAGGGGCTTGAACTCAGGGCCTCATGCTTACTAGGCAGGTGCTCTAATACTTAAGCCATGCCTCCATCCCAATGAATTTTTAACTCAGTGTTCTAATATCTGGCTTAATTGGAGACCTTAATACATTTATATTTCAAGCAATTGTTGATAAATTTGTCATTTGTTTTCTTTTTGTGGTACTGGGCCTTGAACTCAGGGCCTTCACCTTGAGCCACTCCACCAACCCTTTTTTGTGTTGGGCATTTTTGAGATAGGGTCTCACGAACTATTTGCTTGGGCTGGCTTCGAACCTCAATCCTCCTGATCTCTGCCTCCTGAGTAGCTAGGATTACAGGCATGAGCCACCTGACAGCGCCTGGCTGTCATTTGTCTTCTATTTGCCTTCTTGCTTTTATCCGCTTGCATTTTCTGCATTACTATCTCCTTTTGTGTTTTTATTTATTTATTTTTTGAGACAGTGTCTCTATATGTAGCCCAGTCTGTCCCAAACTCATGATTCTCCTGTTTCAGCCTCCTGAGTGTTGGGATTATAGATGTGTACTATCATGCCTGGCTAACTGATTGTTTATAGTGAGATACTTAAATTCCTTTCTCATTTCTTTTTATGAATATTCATTACCAATTTCCTTTGTGCTTACCATGAAAATTACATTTAACAATCTAGATGTATAACACTCTAATTAGAATTTATACCAGTTTATTTTCAATAATGTACAAAAACTACTCCGTTTGTGTTCTTACTTTTCAGTTACTGATGTCACAAAATTATATTTCCATGAGTTGTGCATAATAATTACTACTTACTATAAAAAGGAACTAAGTATTGCTTCAGCAAAGAGCCTGAATAAATCTGAAAACTAGGATGAATGGGAAAGAAACCAATCCCTAAAGGTTACATATTGTATTATTCAGTCTGTATAACACTTTTTTGGGGGGGGACTAAAATTTGAATTCAAGACTCCATGCATGCAAAGCAGGTGCTCTACCACTTGAGCTGTACCTCCAGTCCTTTTTGCTCTGGTTATTTTTGGAGATGGGATCTTGTGAATTAAAACTATTTACCTAGTTAGTCTCCAACCTCGATCCTCCCAATCTCAGCCTCTCATGTAGCTAGGGTTACAGAAGTGAGCCACCAGTGCTGGCTGCATCTATTTAACATTCTTGAAATGACAAAATTACAGAAATGGACAATACAGATTAGTGATTTTATGGTATTTAAAAGGGGGTGTGGCCAGAGGAAAGTGGGCATGGCTATGAAAGCACAACTAGTGAGATCATTGCATGATGGAAATGTTATTTCTTGACTATATCAACGTCAACATCCTGGTTATTGTAGTGTACTACATTCCTTCAAGATGAAAACTGGGTAATTGGTACCCTGGTTCTCTCTATATTATTTCTTACAATTTGAATCTATGTCAGTATTAAAATTTTTAATTTAAAAAATACTCAAAACATAAAAAAGGAAAGAAGTTTACTATCTTGGACTGGCAGAATGGTTCAAGTGGTAGAGGGCCTGGCAAACACAAGGCCCTGAGTTCAATCCCTAGGCCCACCAAAAACAAACAAACCTAAAACTGCTGGATATGGTGAGGCAGAAAGATCATGATTTCAAGACCACTTAGGAGTACACAGCAAGACCTCTCAAAAAACCAACTAACCAACTAAACAAAACCACAAACACAAAATACAAAATAATAACAAAAACTCCAAAACTAACATTGAAAAATGTGTTAATTTTGTATTAATTTTTTGGGGCAGTACTGGGGTTTGAACTCAGAGCCTCTACCAGTAGTGTCACACCTGCAGCCCTAATTCTGTATAAATTCTGAGTGATGGTTATATCAGTGTTAATAGCATATGGGTGTAAGAGTCATAAGAAAAATAAACCAATAACTCACAGAAGAAAAACAAATGAAAAAAAAAAATCAGAAACCAAAGAAATACAAATTTAAGGGATTGCAAAATAAATTTTTCATCTGCTTATTTTACAAAAACTTAAGTTTGAAGGGCTGGAGGAGTGGCTCATGGTAGAGGGCCAGCTTAGCAAGTGTGAGGCCTTGAGTTCAAGCCCCAGTACCACCCTGAATCACTGTAGTGGGATGGCAAATTGGTTCCAAGATTTTAGAAAGGCAATTTTGTGATCTCTTTTCAGCAAAACGTTGTCCTATAGGGACAACGTTTATTGGAAAATGTACAAGAATTTTTTGTAGCATTACTTATAAGAGCAAACAATTAAAAGGAAAGAAACTAAACCATCTTTCATCAGAGGAATGGTCAAAAAATAATCAAGGGCATCCATACTACAGAATATTGTCACTATTAAGAAAGACGAGGTAAAAAATTGCTGTTGCAGGGGAAAATGAGACATTTCTACTAATGTCCCTCATTAGGGGCAAATGAAAACAAAGAACCAAAAGTAAAGAGAAGCCTCCATCTCCTAGGAGCAGGTGAGGCAGTCACAAGCACTGACCGCTAACTTCTGCTGACGTCACAAGTTTCCCACACCTATTTACCGCGCCCGGGCACCGAACCTGGGTCGGTGACGAACCACTGTGGTCGGGATCTGGTGGAAGAACGCGGAGATGTGTGCGTGCGATGGGGTATGGGGACAAATAAGTGGTAGAAGAGAGCGTTGACTTTTTGAGTCTGTGCGCTGTTTGTGCCGTTTGAAGTTGTTTTCTTCTTTAAATCTTAGTTAACCGAGAGTGGGAGGTGCTGGGCTGAGGAATGTCAGGGATCCTAGGTTCGAATTCTACCTCTGCTTATAATTCGCTACACAGACTTCAACAACCTGCTTCAGTTTCCTATCTGTAAAACGCTAACTACCATCAGCTGTTCGGCTACTTAACAGAGTCAAACGAAAGACACTTCCCATTTTTGGAGTCCCAATTCGGCGCCAGGTACAAGCTTGGCCCCAATCAGATACTGACGCGTGGAGGCCGCGGGGTATCTTGGGATTTGTAGTCCACCCGGTCGAACTCGCGCTCCCGGCAGGCACTGCGGCGGCGGCGGCGGCAGGGCTACGTGGCGAGACCGGCTGCCCATGCGCGGATAGGTGGGGCAAGATGGCTGCTGAGCAAGGCATGCGGGTCGTCTGTACCCTACCCGGAACGGGGCTGGATAGAGTGATGCGGGCCTTCCTGCTGCTGCTGTGGTTTGCAGCTCGCGGGAATGCGCTGTACTTCCACATAGGGGAGACAGAGAAAAAGTGCTTTATTGAGGAGATTCCAGACGAGACCATGGTCATAGGTGCGCGGACGAAGGGGAGAGTTTGGGGCGAGCCCTTGGTCTTGGGGCGGGGGTTGCGGGATAGTCAGCTCTCTGGAGCGCGGAGGAGCTGGCCTTGCCGGCCGTGGTCTTCTGACCTGGGTTCCCCCATCGTGTCTAGGAAATTACCGGACGCAGCTATATGACAAGCAACGCGAGGAATACCAGCCGGCCACCCCGGGGCTTGGCATGTTCGTGGAGGTGAAGGACCCGGAGGACAAGGTGAGCCGGACCCTACCCTCGCCGAGCCCGACCCTACCCTCGCCGAGCCCTACCCTCGCCGAGCCCTCCGCCAGGCAAGCTCTGGTACTCCCCCTGTTAGTTTCTGCATCAGTGGGAGAGAGCGATGGTGTCGTGGGAAGATTCCGGATTTCCGCTGTAGGCCGAACTTAGGCTGCTGGGCTGGGGAGCTGTCCCTCTCACCTGCCCCTTCCCTGTTCTCGACTCCGCCAAATCAGTCACTTAGCCATTCCCCTGGTCTGCGAAATGGAAATTCACTTCTACGTGCGATGGGTGGATTAACTGTGATGGAAATCAAAGTTTTGTCAACTCTAAAGCTGTGGCGTCTAGACTAACGTTTCACAGAACAGGCCACTTTCCAAAAAGAACGAGCAGCTTTAAAATCGACAAATAAGGATATTAAAATGAAAAGCAAAACCCTTTAGCTGTCACCTTCGGTCACCTTTCATTTCCTAAAAAAAAAATCACATTGAAAGAGTTGAAAGATGAAAGATGAACTCCTTCACAAGAGTGGTGGCTTGCCATCCTGATGTCCACCTCTTCATTCCTGCCCCAAATAGTTCTCAGCAAGCATTTGGCAATTTCTGCTGAGTAACTTTGGATCCTTTAGTGCAACTAAGGCTCTTGTCAACTTTAGTGGTACTCTTGTGGCATCATTTCCAATCTCATCCACAGTAACACTGATTAAAGCCCCTTTTCTGTCTCCAGGTCATCCTGGCCCGGCAGTATGGCTCTGAGGGCAGGTTCACTTTCACCTCTCACACCCCTGGTGAGCACCAGATATGTCTTCACTCCAATTCCACCAAGTTCTCTCTCTTTGCTGGAGGTATGCTGGTAAGTGGACCCATGTGAGACTCAAAGCTTTCAGCTTCTATTTCCTGGTCAGGACTGGGGCTTGTGGTACTGTAAGTGTGTTAGATTTTGTGTCTCCCAAGAACCCTAGGTTTCAGTGGACATCCAGTGTATAGTGGCTAACCTCTTACAGTCATCCCTTAGTTTCAGAACCCCCCTTTGATATCGAAATCTGCGGATGCTCAAGTCCTTTACATAAAATGTTGTAGTGTTTTCATATAATTTGTGCATATCCTTCCATGTACTTTTAAGTCATGGGAATATTCTGTATGTGCTCAGCACATAGGTTTTTTGTTTTGTTTTGTTTGTTCGTTTTTCCTTTTTAAACTATTTCAGTCCACAGTTGGTTGAACCTGAATGTGTGGAACCTGCAGATACGGAGAACAGTCTGTTTTTGCTTGGGGCAGTGCATCAGCCCAGGCTTGTTCTTCTTGTTTGCCTACAGTCCATTAAGGCTGGACTCTGAGGAGGTCTCAGTCTGTTGTCCAAATGGATAAATAAAGGAAAGTGGGGAATCATTTGTCAGTTTCCTGCGGAAAGATGGAGCAGGACTGTCTGATTCCATTATCTCCTTTGTCTGTCCCTAGAGAGTTCACCTTGACATCCAAGTGGGTGAACATGCCAATGACTATGCCGAAATTGCTGCCAAAGACAAGCTGAGTGAGTTGCAGCTACGAGTGCGACAGCTAGTAGAACAAGTGGAACAGATCCAGAAAGAGCAGAACTATCAACGGGTGAGTGGTTGAACCAGGAGTGGTTGGTTTCTTCTTGGAAACTGCCTACTGTCTCAGCCAAGAGTTGCATGGCAGATGATTTATTATGAGCCCCCCCCCCGCAACTCCAGGTGACTTACCTATGACTAAAGGTGGGGTGGGTATTACTAAGTCCATCTCGTAGTTGAGGACACAGACACTCTTAAGAGACTCATTACACTAAATCAGTTACACACAAAATGACGGGATGGGGATTGATACCAGCACCTTGGGTATCATTTCAGTGGCTTTAGGTGCTCCCAGGACAACAGAGCCCTCCACCAGGCAAACTTTGGTACTCCTCATGTTAGTTTCTGTACAAATTCATTTGTGACCAGGAATCAGACAGATGGCATGAATGAATCAGACTATAACGAACAGTAGTGTAGTGACCCTTTTGAACAGAAACACCTACTGTTCAGTGTCAGCTGAACAGGCCTATAGGCCTCCTTGTAGAAATTCAGCCTTGGGTTTTCAGATCTTTGTTTTTTTGAAGAGGAACTAGAGGTCCAGGTTTTGTTTTGTTTTTTTTTTAATGAGATTTTCCTGAGTTTTAAATGTTAGTGTGTGAACTAAACAAGGCCAGAGATAGCCTCCAGGCCACCAGTTTGCAACTTGTGTCCATGATCTTCAGGGACTAATTTGAGAGAACTGGACAGAGGGCTTAAACCAAGTCCACCTGAGTACTCCAGGGCAGCTCTGTCCTATAGATGATACCACCATGATCTTATCTCTCCAGGCATCAGCACAGAACTGAGAACTATATTTGAGAGATAAGGAAACTGATTTAGGAATAGTGATTAGGTTGCCTTCAGTTGTCTGCCTGTTGAGGGTGTAGACAGTACCCAGGTAGAATGACTCTGCAGGCACTTGGCTGGGACTTGGGCAAAGCAGGCCAGCCCTGGGGCATCCTTGCAGGCTGGGAACCCAGCAGTGTAGCAGTCCCAGATAACTTCTTCCATTCTTCTCCACAGTGGCGAGAAGAGCGCTTCCGGCAAACCAGTGAGAGCACAAACCAGCGGGTGCTATGGTGGTCCATTCTGCAAACCCTCATCCTCGTGGCCATTGGCGTCTGGCAGATGAGGCACCTCAAGAGCTTCTTTGAAGCCAAGAAGCTGGTGTAGCCATCTCAGGCCTTATAGGTCATCTTTCCTCCCAGGCTGGGGGAGAAAGGACCTCCTGGAACTGACTCCTCTGGCAGGAGGACTTGTTCTCAACCATAGATATTCTGGGGGGAGAGGGGCTGCAAGCACCCCCAGGCACAAGCTGAAAGCAGTGATTTGGCTGGTTAACACTGAGTGGAGGGAGGGGGCAAGTGCCTCCCTCCCTCCACCCAACTGCCAGCCTCTGAACCTTTTGCAGTAATCACTCAGGAGCTGGTAACGCCACTGGGAGCCCCATTGGCACCTTAGAATCTCAGTGTTACTGATCAGGGATGTGAGGCTGCTGTCTAGGGTGGATGGTGGGAGGGAAGTGGGCGGGTGAGTGAGCCAATCTTCCTTTTGTCTTCCTTTGCTAACATGGAATTTTGAGCAGGTTCGGTCGTGGCTGTGTTTACTTGCCATTCTAGGAACCTTTTTTTTCTCTCCTTCAGCCTAGACCTAGCCTGCTGATTCAGGGTTTGTGTGTGTGTCAGTTGAGGGTGGGGTAGAGGGAAGTAGCTTCAGGGTACCCTAGCTTCTTCATGTGGTTGTTCTTTCTGGGGCTTGAGGAACTTGTGTCAGGCCTCGTAGAGGCCTTGGTGCTGGCTGGAATGGGGTCTGCACAATCTTAGTTACTGATTTCATTTTCATTGAGTCTAGGTTTGTTATGTTGGTTTCCCAATTAAAGAAAACAATGAAGTGTCCAGTGTAAAGTTACTCTCAGTGGTCATGACATTGCATGTATTGTCAGTTCTCCCATGGGAAAGTACTTCACATTCTACCAGGAATCCTGTCACCTGTGAACTTCATTCTTTCATGCCTTCTTGTGTCAGGCAGTAGTGGGTTTGTCTGACACCATCCAACAAGCAAATTGTACGCTTGGGGCTCAAATTCACCAATCTTCCCTGCCAGCTCCCTTGTGAAGCACCCTCCCTTTCCTGAGTAGGTGGGCGGAATTATTATAGGTGCTGCAAGCAGGTGCCTGGTAAGAGAAGATGCATAGAGCGGGAGAATGCTATAGATGTGGAAAGGAGAGTCCCTGGGCTGGTGGAGATGAGGGTATTAGTGGATTTAACTGGAAGTAATTTCTGCAAGGACCACAAAGGAGAGGAAGTATTCTGGGGAAAGGAGATGGCAGGTTAGAAGTGGTTGGGAGAAGAGGCAAAAAGCTTGTATGGAGATGGAGGGACATTCTGTGTCAATTGGAGAGGATATTTATGAGGAGGCTGGTAAAGAAGGTTGGGTTAGAGTTAAAAGAGCCTTGACTCAAGGCTCTTTTAGATTTGGACAATACCCCTCCTATCAACGCAAACTTTTTTTTGTGGTGCAGGGCATCAAACCTAGGACCTTAAACCACTGAGCTACATCTACCCAGCCCTCAACCAAAAGTTCTGAATAGAAAAAACCTGAAGGTAAAAATTGAGGGAGGGTGGAATTTATCAGTGTGTGAGAAAGTCTGGACAAGGAGACAAGTTTGGGGGCTGTTTGACCTGATGAGATGTGAGATGTGATTTGAACTCATGGTGTCACTAAGGCCTCTACATTAAAATAATATTTATCTTTAAAAGACAAGAACAAAAACAGCTTCAAGCTGAGTGCTGGTGGCTCACACCTGTAACCCCATCTAGTTGGGAGACTGAGATGGAAGGATCATGGTTCATAGTTCAAGGCCACCCCAGGCAAATAGTTCATGAGACCCATCTGAAATAACCAGAGCAAAATGGGTGGGAGACAAGGCTCAAGTGGTAGAGTGCCTGCTTTGCAAGAATGAAGCCCTAGGGCTGGGGGTGCGGCTCAAGTAGTAGAGCACCAGTTCAGCAAACACAAGGCCCTGATTTCAAACCCCAGTCCCACCAAAGAAATAAAAGCAGTTTCAGAACTGAGGAAAATTGTACAGTTTTCCCTGTTAATAGCATGTGTTAAAATGGTATATTAAAATTAATGAACCAGTATCACTATGTTATTATATGGTTTGTTTTTTTAGAGACTGTTTCCCTATGTAATCCAGACTGGCTTCCAAGTGACAATCTTCTTACTTCAGCCTCCTGAGTGCTAGGATTATAGGCACACACTACCACACTGGCAGAAGGCTACACACTGACATTAGTTTAATGAAAAAAAAAATTTTTTTTTTAATTGCAGTACTGGGGAATTGAAGCCAGAGCATGCGTGCTAGGCAAGCACTGTTAATACTGAACTACATCCCCAGCCTTGATAAGTTATTTTTAAGCAAAGTCCATATTTTATGCAGTGCACATTTTCCTTTTTTTGTTCCCGGGTTTACCTAATGCTTTTCTTATCTTTAGATGGGTTATGGGTTTTTGGAAGATGACAGAGGTGAAGTGCCATTCTTACCCCATCATATTAAAGGCTCTTACCAACATATAAGTTGATGCTACATTTTAAAGTTGTTTGGATTTTTATGTAAATTTAGTTTCTTGAGATAGTGAGATCTGACACTAGTGGGTCTTCATCCTGATGTGACAACTAGTTGGGTGGCATGGTGGCTCTCCTCATTTGGTGGGCTTGGGCTCTGCAGAGCTTCCTTCATTGGTCTTACTGATTAATCTTGGCAGGAGGTTAACATTGCCTTTACATCATCCAATCCTAGACTGAATTTGCTGAGTTTCTGATGGGTGTAGTGGAGAGTCACAAGACGTGGGAGTGGTTTGTATGCCTCACAGTTTAAGAAGAATGATTGATTTTCCATCTGTAGTGAAGTCTGAAACAAAGTGTTTCATATTATAGATTGTGGAGGGAAAAAAAACACTGCTTGTGCAATCAAGCTACCTGATTTGCCTCGCTGTGGCTCAGTTCTTTCATCTTTAAAGTGTGATAATACATACCTGCTCATAAAGATTGATTGAATGAGAAAACAGCAATATGTCATTTAGAATAATGACTGGCACAAAGTAGAACTTACTAGGTATTGGGTATTTATTAGGAAACTAAAATTTTGCCTGGGAAAGAAGACAAGTCTAGTAACTTCCTCTTCCCAGGTGGGAGGCTGGCAGGAGGGTGGGAATGATTAAATTCGTAAAACGAGAGGGCTAGATTCCAGCCTTGAGTTCTCAGCTCAGTTCCAATAAAGCACCACTTTCTTAGATGACAGCTGTCATTTATATAGCGTTGACTATGCCCTCAGCGCTGTGCGAAGTGGGTTTGCAGTTTCTCCTTTAAACCTCACAGTAACCGTACACAATAGAGCCATTTATATATCCAGGTGAGGAAACAATCACAGATTGATTATGGCTTGCCCATAAAGACAGTTGAATTGGGAGAGCCGGATTCCAAACCCAGTCCATCTGTCTTCAGATCCCGGCCCTAACTACTACTTCGGAGCCGACAGAACCCCACACAGCCCTGAGCTGGGCCTTGGCTGTCCAAAGGTTGCGTGGGCTGACAGCAAGGACGCCGCGACGCTCCCCGCCTTTCATCGGGAAGATGCACACTATCCCAGAGTGCTGTTTTGGAAGTCCGAGTCCACGTCCGGTCCCAGCCCAGTGCTTTGGGGGCGTCTTTGACCTCCGTTTCTCGGAACGTCAAGCGGGTCCCTGAAGGCAGAGAAGAGAGCGCCGCGGCGGAAGCGCCCACGTGTCCCTCGGCAAGCAGAACCTTGGAGGCGGCGGCTCCGGCGCGCAGACGGCACGGCCGGAGCGACGGACCGGCGGACCAGGGGGGCGTGGCGGGAGGGGGCGGAGACGCCGCGTAGGCCCCGAAGGCCGGGCCGGCGGGGCAGGGAGCTCGAGCCCCATGCGCCGCCGTCCCCCAGGACGATGTTCCCCTCCCGGAGGAAAGCGGCACAGCTGCCCTGGGAGGATGGCAGGTGAGCGGCGGCGGCCGGGGCCCTGTCCTCTCGGACGCTGCTCCTTTCTGGGCCGCCACAGGATCTCGAAGGCCGAGGTTGTCTCATTTGCTTCTTTGCGGATCTCTCCGAGGGCTTGTGGCTGTCCCCGTGGTTCACTGGCGCTCTCTATGGGAGCTGTCCGTCTACACCAGGCTCACTCCGCGCGAGCCTTTATCTCTGGTCTCTCCCTCTTTCTCCGTTTCCTCCCTTTGTGTTTCTGTGTCTCTTTGCTAATCTCTCATCTTTTTTGTGTGTCTGTTTTTCTCTACTGGCGCATGTCTCTTTTGTGTTCGTGCGGGTCTAGGACTCCGTTGACCTTTTGCAGTCGATCTCTTACCTTTGTCTTTCTCTGGTCTCTATGGGCCTTTATTCCTTTTCTCTGGTCTCTGCCTTCCCCGTCATATCTACGTAGCCTCAGACCCTGTTCCTTTCCTTCATGCTTCTCCATACTTTGCCGCTGGCCCAGAAGAGCACAGCAGACAGAAGCTCCTTATGCTCTGCCTGGTTGGCCACTGTCTGGCTTGTCCTCCACACACCCATTTGTTCATTTCCTGGGCTGCTGTACTTGCCTGGGGCCTGTTGCGTGTGTTAGGTGTGAGCCAGTCCTGATGAAGGGATGTTTCTCCTGGAAGCAGGATGAGGGAAGTTACTTCTCCGCTAAGATTTGGGGGACAGGGCTATCACTCAAATCTAGAAGAACTTTGGAGGTCCAAACTTTTTCCCCTGAAACACATGGTAGTGGATCTTCACCCAGTGAGTAACATCTGATTCCTTTTATGCTTAAGTTTGTTAGGTGCCATAAGATTCTGGAATTTAGTGAAGAGAGCTCTTTCCTTTGATGTTTTTTTCAGACTTGGTGTTGAAATGAGCGTATATAACAAGACATGGACCATGGAGTCAGGTCTAGGCAAGAATCTTGTTTAATAGCCAGGTGACCAGAAACAGATTTTTTTGTGTGTGTGTGTGGTACTGCGGTTTGAATTCAGGGCCTTGCACTTGCTACCACTTGAGTCATGCGCCCAAGCCCTTTCCCCTTTAGTTATTTTTCGAATAGGGTCTGGTATTTATGCCCTGGCCAGCCTGGACTGCAATCCTATTTATGCTTCCTGTGTAGCTAGGATGACAGGTGTGCATGCCATCATACCCAGTTTTTTATTGGTTGAGATGGGGGGGGGGTCTCTGAACTTTTTGCCCCCAGGGAACTGTTAGCTTTGCAGTCTCTGCCTCCTGAGTAGCAAGGATTACAAGCTTCACTTTTGTTTTTTAACCTCACTCTTCCATCTCTGAAATGGGGATCATACTATCTACTCCAAAGAGCTGTTTAAAGATTAAAGGAGCTCATTACATAAAACCCTTGGCACTGTGGCTGGCCCAGAGGAGGTAACAGTCCTCTTCTAGTTATCTTTGTACTCCTGAGGTGCTGTATCCAGCTGAGTATTGAAACCTTGTACCTCTAATAGTTACATGAGAGAAGAAAGGAAAGGGAATAGAGGATTATTTCCATTTCCTGATCCTTTTCTGTAATTGTGTTCTCAAAAATGCACTCATGTCCATTCTGTGCTTTTGACATAGGAGCACAAAGATCAATGCAACAAATGCAGGCTAGCATAGTAATTGAATGCTGACTCTGGAGCCAGCCTGTGTGGGTCTGAAGCCACCTCTTATTAGCTCTGGGCAGTGATTAATGGAGACAAAGCCTCATCTAGATTGCCCCTCAGAGCCGGCCCTGAGCCTGAGCCTGAGCCTGGGAGCCACTGGGACTGCAGTCTGGAGTCAGCCGCCAGGTGGCACCAGGAGCAGCTGTCCACAGTGTCCACTGCCCTGAAGTACTGGGATGAGGCTCAACTCACTTCTCAGTGGTTTTGGCCTTTAGAGCACAAGGTGAGAGTGTCCATTGGGATTTAATCCTGGCTGGAAGGAAGAAACAGCACAGAAAATGCATGAAATGCCAATTCTGTGCCATAATGGTCACTGCTTCTTCCTCCAAAGGAGGGATATTACTCTATGTCCATCTTCCCAGTCTTCATCCTACCCCTTAAAAGAGCCCAGAGTGCGAGAGAGAATCTGTAGAGGTTCCAGCCTTCCCAAGCCACTTGCAGGTCTTGGCTTTGCTCCTCCCCAGTGGAAACCACCACAAGGCAATAGGGGGTAAGTCAGAAGTCCTGTGAGGTGTCCTACTGGGCTATCTCCAGCTGTGTGTGGGTCCTGGATCTGGCTTCATGGCTTTTGGCTTCCAGGTTGGCAGTTGTGTCTCTAGAGAAAGGTAGGCATTGGTCTGGCTCTACTGAATGACTTAAAGCATGCCTGCCTGGTCTGCTTTAACCCATTAACTCACTTAGCAAGCCCTCTGCTGTCTGACCTGGTCTGGGGTCATAGATATGAGTCTGACATGGTCTTGACAAGCAGTTCACCTGGGTCATCACAAGCAAGTCCTTCAAAGAGAGAAGTACCAGATGCCATGGGAACACAAAGGACGGACAATGCTGGCCAGGACATTGGCCAGCAGGGGATTTCTAGGCAGATAAAAATAAAGAAGGGTATGTCAGGCAGAAGAAACAGACTGGGGGGTGGGGTGGGGAGTGGAGGTGGGGGGCTGTGGGGGGGGGAGTGGAGGTGGGGGGTGTGTGTGGGGGTGGGGGTGTGTGCAACAGGAAGGATGTGGCAAATGGAGAGTCCTGTGTTACCAGGGTGAGTGAAAGGTTGTAAGTAACTGATAAGAGATCTATCTGATTAAGTCACAGAGGGAGGGCTTTGACAGGCAGGCCAAGGAGTTCAGCTTTTATCTTGTAAACAGAGAAAGATCTTCTGTGCTATTGAAGGGGTCTGAGCAGGGCAAGGACCAGATGGGTGAGGAAGATTACAGGATGATTTAAGAGGTAGTCTACAAGAACTGACTTAAAGGTTGTAGATTCCTCTGTAGATTATTTGTGGGATGGAATTAAAGATTTCTCAGATCCTTTCCTAGCATCCTCTGGAACTTCCAGAGGAGGAGCAAAGGGTTAGGGTGGATTCCACCTGTTTCTTTGTTTTATTTTTTGAAATAAGTTCTCACTATGTAACGGCTGGCCTGGAACTCATCCTCAGCCTCCCAAGTGCTGAGATTATAGGTGTGTACCACCATGCCCATCCCTCTACCTGTTTTCTTATTCTTAGTAACCTAAAGGGCTAACTCCCAGCATTATCACAGTATCTGAGACATTTAGCAGTTTGTCCAGCTTCTGAAATGAGCCTGCGTACTGCACCAAGCCCTTGTCTTTCTTTCCCTCTTCTGTCTCTCATCTCTTGCCTCATGGGCTACTTCTTGAACTGAAGGTTTGAGACTCCTCCAGTAAGCTGCCACTGTCCATTTGGGCTTTGCATTATTTTGGGGGCAGGTCTGATCTTCTCTAAGTAAATATTCGTCATTTCATCTGGAACTCATGCCAACATACACCCCTCTTTTGGGGGCTTTCTGATCAGCCCGAGAGGCAGGATGAAGCCAATGCTTCTTCTGGGATGAATCCTCTAGGGAGCAAGTTTGGAACGCAGTGGGTTGCATTACTCTAAGATGGGGCTTCTACCACTGACTCAGACATCGAAGCCACCTTCTGGGGAGGGGCAAGTACAAGAGACAAGAAGCCTCGACTTCCTCTCTGTGTAGATCATAATTTCACTCACAGAATGTAAAAGAGCATCAAGGAACTGAGGCAGCTATGTCATGGGGAGTGGTCAAAGAGCCCCCCACAGATGGGTGGCATGGGTTGGAACTAGAGAGGTAAACAGGATTCTGATGTGTTGTAGTAGCATGAGCAAAAACATTAAAGTTGCTTCTGCACTAATTCCCAGGTGCTTGGGGTGGACCAGTCACATGTGCTGAATGTGTGGGGAGGCCAGAGAAGGGGTCTGTCAGAGGGCCCCAGCTTGGCCCTACCATTCTGACACACCATACCTGCTCTTGTCCCAGGTCCAGGTTGCTGCCTGGTGGCCTCCCCCGGAAATGCTCCATCTTCCATCTCTTCGTTGCCTGTCTCTTACTGGGCTTCTTCTCCCTACTCTGGCTGCAGCTCAGCTGCTCTGGTGATGTGAACCGGGAAGCCAGGGGACAAGGGCAAGAGACCCTAGGTCCACCGCGGGCCTGCCTCCCAGAGCCACCTCCTGAGCACTGGGAAGAAGATGCATCATGGGGCCCCACGCCTGGCAGTGCTGGTGCCCTTCCGTGAACGCTTTGAGGAGCTCCTGGTCTTTGTGCCCCATATGCACCACTTTCTGAGCAGGAAGAAGATCCAGCACCACATCTACGTGCTCAATCAGGTGGATCATTTTAGGTAGGGACCACCTACTGACCCAGCACCCAACTTGGCAGGCTCAGGCCTGAGAGAGGCCACAGTGGGTAGGGTCAGAGGGTGGGAGGTGGCAGAGTATGGTGGGAATCTGTGGGGTGGCCCCTGATCTTCTTTCCATTATAGAAAGAGCTCTGCTTTATGCGGATTAAATTATACTAGGACAAAGGCAGACTCAGGGGCACTAGTTAGGTGGTCACTGCAGCCACTGGAGCTGACAGAGGCTTGGTCAGAATGATAGAAGGGTGTAGAAGTACAGACAGGACTTACTGGTGACTGGCTAGGGGAATTAGGGAAAGGGAGGGCCCATAGTCTAGTCTAGTGTAGTCTTTACCCCAAACTGCTCCCCTCTGTGACCCCCATCCAAGCCTCTCACACTCCAAACCCTGCCTCATTTCCCTCCAACTTACAACTGCTGGAAGATGGACCTCAGTGATTCCTGGACCTTCCTAGACCATGAGTCTGGGTTCACTGCCCACCCTTCTTGTCTGTCCATTCTCTTCATCCAACCTGGAGTCCATGGTCCACCATTAAAATCATTCCCTCACTGGGTGCTGGCAGCATGGCTCAAATGGTAACCGAGTACCTGCCTAGCAAGTGCAAAGCCCTGGGCTCAACCCTCAATACTGAAAAAAAAAAAAAAAGAGATCACTGTCTGTCATCCACCCATAACCTCCTGCTCCCTAAGCAGCAGCAGCACAGTCATGCTGCTTGACTCCCTGATGATGAGCCTGGACCCAAGAAGACCCTGGTCCTGCTGAAAGTCTCGCATTCCTTCAGTCTGTCCAAGGCAGCCTTCTAAACCACCTGTCCTTACTCCTGCCTTGTCTTCATTCTCTACTGATGACTTTGCCTCTAATGTGGGGAGATGGAACCACTTGGAGGAGGGCGTTCTCCTCAGTTTCCACCACTTCCATTTGCCTCCCAGCTTCCTGCTGGTTACTAGAGATGACATCCCAGCCTTCTCTGGAACTGACTCCTTCTGTAGCATTGGACCCCTCTCCCACTCAAGGACAGCGCTTAGCAGTTGGCTCCCTCCTCCCTTGCATAAACGTCTTTTCCCCTCTTTTAGGGATTCACATCAGCATAAACACTAAAACAGCTCCCCTCTAAAAAAACAAAAGAAGGAAAAAACTCCATCCTACATCTCCACAGCTATCACCCCACTTCTTTGCTCCTTCCCTTTCTCTTCCCTCATTTTCCCTTGAACCTACTCTACTTAGACCTTCAAAATGGCCACGTAACAGCTCTCATTGAGATCACTGATGAACTCCACTTTGTTCATGACAGGCCTGCGTCTTGTTGATTATTTTTTCCTTCTTGAAATGCCTCTACTTTACTTCTGAGACAGCTCTCTGGTTCTCCATCCCTATTGGCCAGTCCTGCTAATCTCCTTTGCCAATTCTCTATCTGATCTCCCATCATCAGTGTTCCTTGGGGCTCAGTGCTTGGCCACTTACCCTTTTCTAGCTACAGTCTCTCCCTGGGGATCCCATCCCATCTTGTGGCATTGAATCCCTGCTGACTCCCAAGTCTGTATTCCCAGCCCTGACTCCAGACCCTTCTTCTGAACTCCAGACTTACACATTCTGCCACCTGTGTGACCTCTCCATTCGGTGGTCTCAGAGGCAGCTTAAACTTACATGATCACAGCTGAATTCCTGATTGCCAAACCCAGACCTGCTTCCCTTGCCTTCTTCCCATTTCAGAGAATGCAAATTCCATGATCTAGCTGTTTAAGCCAAAAAGCCTTGGAGTCATCCTCACCTGCTTTCTCTTTGTAAGACAACATCAAATCCATCAGCAGAGTACATCTAGAATCTGCCCACTCTCAATGTCTACTACTGCCTCCTTGAGCTAGGCCACCATCAACTCTTGTATCCTAACTGGTATCCTGCTTGCATGCCTACCCTTCAGTCTCTTCTCAACACATCAGCTAGTGATATTGCAAAAACATAAGTCGGAGCCCCTCAAAGTTCTGCTCCAAGCCCTCTAACAGCTCCCCATCTCACCCAGCATCAATGCTCCAGTCCTTCAGTGGCCTTTGGGCACTGTTCAGTCAGCCCCATTGCCACCTGACTTATCTCCCCAACCCCCTTCATTCTGTCCAGCTACATGGGTGTCTGCTTTGGGCTTGGGTTTAGGCCTTGGCAGTTGTGCTGTCTTCTGTTTGGCTCATTCCCTCAGGCCTTCAGGTTTCTACTCAAATGTTGCCCTGTCACTCTATCCCTCCTGGACATCTTGTCTAAGAGAACAGCTGCTCCTGCCCCCAGCAGGTTTCACCCTCTTCACCCTGCTCAGTTTCCCCAAGGCTCTTACTGCCCTCTGCCTTGATATACATTTACGTGTTTGTTTCCTCCTATTGGCTACTTGAGAGCAGTGCTCTGTTTTGTTTTCTCATGCTGTATGTTCCAACGCAGGATTGTTTTTGTTTTTGTTTTTGGTGGTTCTGGGGTTCCAGTGAAGTTTTGAACAGCTTTGAGCACATAGTAGGTGCGTAGTAAACACTTGTGTGGTGAGTGGAGAGGCAGTCCCATGCAGCGGAGTTAGTGCTGGGCTGGGAGCAGCAGAGGCACCCCAGGGACTGATGGAGAAGCAGCTGTCAGGTAGGGGTAAGGACAGAGCCAGGTAGTGAATAAACTTGCTGCCCCCCACCCAGCCTCAACCACCCTGCACAGGTTCAACCGAGCAGCACTCATCAATGTGGGCTTCCTGGAGAGCAGCAACAGCACGGATTACATTGCTATGCATGATGTGGACCTGCTCCCCCTCAACGAGGAGCTGGACTATGGTTTCCCTGAGGCTGGGCCCTTCCACGTGGCCTCCCCGGAGCTCCACCCGCTCTACCACTACAAGACCTACGTGGGTGGCATCCTGCTGCTCTCCAAGCAACACTACCAGTTGGTGAGGCTCAGCCCAGCCTCCTCTGCTTAGAGTTGGGGAGCTCCCCCAGCCCTGGGTGGAGGCAGTTGGCAGGATGGAGCAGCCCTCCTGGGGCTCAGCAGATCAAATCCTGCCTGACCTAGCAGGGGACCCAGCAGCAGCCAGGGACATGAGAGAGGAACAGGAGTGAGCTTGGGAGGGCCCTGCTGCAACTACAGAATCCCTGATGCTAGCTGGTTGCAGAAAACTAGGATTGCTGGCCCCTAAAATTGAAAGTGGGGGTGGGGAAAGGTCTGGCTTCAGGTATACCTTGCCAACCTCTCAGCCATCGTCACTGGGACTCATTTCTCCTTCCATCTCCCAGCTGTACTTGCCCTGCATTAGGTTTGTTTTCAGATGTGTGGGTCTGCAAGGAACTTGTTGTAGCTCCAACTGTATAACTTGGTCCTCGTCTGGTGGGAGATGGAGCCTCTTTTTCCCCAGTACAGACATGAGTCCCAGAACTGAGTTGCTCTGACTTGATTGGTCCATTCCTGTGTCAGTTACTGGGGCTTAGGGGGACAGGTGGTTGAAAAGAACTGAGTGACTTAGGCCCTGCTCTTCTCTTCAAGCCATGATGAAAGCCTGCTTTGAGCCAAGTGCAAAAAATAGGTGTCATAGAGCCCAACTGTCCCTCTCTCACACACACACAGAGATCAGGTCAGAGCCACTTCAGGAGAAATGAGAGTATGAGGGGACAGCAGAAATCAGTAGCAGTTGGCACTTTTGTCCTCCACAGAGGTCCCTGTGGCCAGTCAGACATTTCTGAGATACGAATCATCATACACAAGTTCAAGACCCCATCATAACAGAGAAGAGGGATGGGGCGTGCTGACCCCTCCCTTTTGCCCCTCAGCATTGCAGAGGTTGAGGGACCTATAGTACCTGGTGTTTACTCAGAACAGCTGGGGAGGAAGAGGAGGAAAGGAGAACCTGGCTTGTCCAGCTCAGGCTGGGTTCTCCCGAGTGATAGGAGACCGAAGTGCACCCCTGGGAGGAGGGGGCATGTGACAGATGCTGCCTGTCTCTGTGTCAGTGCAACGGAATGTCCAACCGCTTTTGGGGCTGGGGCCGTGAGGATGACGAATTCTACCGGCGCATCAAAGGAGCTGGGCTCCAGGTAAGGCTCCTCCCAGGACCCTGCCACCTCAGCCTTATGGCTGCCCTGAAGTTGCCTTCTCTTTCTGTAGAGTTTTGGGGGTTTAGAGGTTGCCTCCTTGGTTCTGATCCCTGATTTGACCCTGACTTCAGTGGTCATCTAACCAGTCCTTTGCCCTCTGGACCTCAGTCTCTTCTGCAACAGGATGAGAATCTGAGCCCCTGCCTGTGGCCTCTGGGCAAGCAGTGGAGCAAGTGGTGAGGGCTGAGGCTCCAAGAAAGGTGGCCTGACCCCCACTTCCTTTGGTTTCCTTAGCTTTTCCGCCCCTCAGGAATCACAACTGGGTATAAGACATTTCGCCATCTGCATGACCCAGCCTGGCGGAAGAGGGACCAGAAGCGCATTGCAGCTCAAAAACAGGTGCTGGCAGGTCTCCTTATCAGGGATGGATAGGTGGTATAACAGGGAACCAACAGGCCTGATCATTTCACCAAGTCCTCCTTGGGCCCAAATGGCCCCGTCCTTCTCTGCTTGGCCCAGGTCAGTCGATGGGCATTCTGCTTTTGCACTGTCTGCTCTGGTGGCTGCCATGTGCACCCTGAGCACCAAGGCACCAGATTTCAGGGTCTGTGGAGACTGGGGATGGGATAGGCTTAGCTGAAGGTGCCAGAATCCCTGTCCCTCACACAGTCACTTCTCTTGGAGGAATATGATGTATTTGTCCAACAGAGAAGTATCTGCTCTCCTGCTTACTGGGGGGTACATCCTTGGGCAGGAGACTTCACTTCCCTGAGTTTTGGGATCCTCTTCTTTTAGTGGGGATCCCAGGACCTTAATCACAAGGTTGTATGAGATGAGTACATAGCCAACACCATGAAGCCCTGAGTTCATGCCCTTCGCTTTCCTTCCTAGGAACAATTCAAGGTGGACCGGGAGGGAGGCCTGAACACTGTGAGGTATCAAGTGGATTCCCGCACGGCCCTGTCTGTGGGCGGGGCCCCCTGTACTGTTCTCAACATCATGTTGGACTGTGACAAGGCTGCCACTCCCTGGTGTACATTCGGCTGAGTTGGCGAGATAGTAAGGAAGCCCTTGCCTACAGGCCCCACTGCTCCTTAGGCTCAGAAGAAAACCTCAGGCCTTGGATCCAGCTCCCGGAGGATATGGAATGACCTGTGTTTGCAGCTGCCCGGCCTCCAGAGGCAGGCTTGAGCTGTTCCTGGGACACTACTGGCAATAAACAGTGATCAGAGAGAGGCTGGAAAGTGGCTCCTGACTGGAACTGTCCACCCAGCCTTCCTGCTTGTCCCACTCTGCCTTCCTTTACAGGCTGAGGCCTGCAGGCAGTGGGGGAGGGCTGACAGGACAACCTTGAATCACCCTCACTTTTGTTCCTTCCCACTCAGCTGCCTCATGCAGAGATACAGTTTAGAAGCCATACTGCTGATAGAGGCAGCAGCTGTGATTGGGAGGCTTAGAACTTCAGAAACCAGAGCACAAGCCCCACAGAAAGGAGCACCAGTTGCTTATCACCATGCAGGAATGGGGGGGCCTGCTCTCACCACGTGACTTTTCAAAAGAAACCAGAAAGCTGGATTCTTAAGTGAAATCTCCTGATTTTTAAATGATAGCAGCTCATTGAAACTTAAAAAAAAAAAAAAAAAAAGGCAGGCCAGACAAAATGTGATGTGGGCCAGTGGTTTGTCACCTTTGGTGGAGGGGAGGAGGGAGAGACAAAAGAAGACACCTCTTAGTTATCATCTGGCAAGGAACTGAGTTAGAGGTGGGGATGGCAGTTCCAAGTGGGAGGAGAAGCCACAGGCAACAATTTTTCTGCACCACTTGTCCATACCCTTCAAGCTTTTGGGAAACTCCCTCAATAGCCATCTGGGCAGTTGAGCACTTTTAGGCTCTGTTTGGGAGGGGTATTTCAAGATGAAACCCCAATGCGACCAAAACAGGAAGGAGGGAACTGAAGAAATAGATCCACAGGACTGGATTTAAGATAGGACAAGGCGGTGATGCCTCAGGTCAAGGCTTGAGGGAGGACCATGTTTCTGAGGTGGGAGGAAGAAGATGGAGAGAAGTAGGAAAATCCCTGGAGTATTAAGGGAGATTTCCAGTAATCTCTTAAGATCATGGCTAAGAATGAAGGACAGGAGCCTAGGGAGACCATGGGATTGGAAAGTGATCCTGGAGAAAATTTGGAGGGAAGCCAAGAGCCAATGGAAGCAGGAGATGAGGGCTTGCATAAGGCAGAGTGTTCTTTCAAGGTGTTTGACTACCATGAATTTTGGGCAGAAGTTAAAAGAGACTTGGGACCAGTTAAGGTTGGTTGGTTTTAACACTGGGACACCTGAAGTGCTGCAGAAAAAATGGATTAGGTTCCAGTGATGAGAAGTATAGAATCAGCAGCTCTGGTCCAAAAAGACTCCTGAGGATGATCTCAGGACCAGTGTGTGAAGCTGTGGGGATTGTTTATACAACCTGTGTGTAAACAGATTTAAGCAGAGATGGTTGGGGTGAAGCTTCAGAATCCAATGTCTAATCCAGGGAGGTTGTGCTTCTACATTGACTTTGCCCAGGTATTCAGCCTCATCCTCTGTAGTGAGAGGCAACAGGGTGGTGCACATGGGGATGAGGTGCTGTCTGTGTGTCCCATTCTGCCAACCCTGACCTCTTCTTGGATGCACATATAACCTGGGTAATAGCACCTGGCTGGAGTTGGTGGGCATGAATGTGAAACCAAAGCCCCTAGCTCTCTATTCACCTGGCATGTAGGAAGACCTCAAAAAGTGGGGATTCCTTCCTTTCCACCTGCACTAGGGGAGTGTAGTGAGCACGAGAAAGCTCCGCAAGTACCCTTTGCCTTGGATTAGTCAACAGGTTGGGCTGGAGCAAGTCCCCAGTTCTGCACCATACATTCACCCATGGCTGTTGGCAGCTCCTCTGTCATGGAGGTGCTTGTGAGCACCCCAGACTGGGCCTTGTGCAGCCCCCTCATGCTACCTCCTGTGCTCTGTCACTCCCCAGGAGAATGGGAGAGGGCTGAGCCATGGTGGGGAAGGGGCAGAGGCAGATAGCTGTCTTCCTCAGTGTCTTGTTGCCTTTGTGGCATAGAACCTGCTAATGTCCCTGCCTTGCTGTTTGAGGTGTAGATCAAATGTGCGAGGACATAGGAGCACCTGGTATGGTGCTTGGCCAACATGGGTGTTGTGATAATAATGACCGTGTTTTTGAGCATTCACTACATCCAGCATGTTCTACATTGCAGTATTTCATGGAGGCCTCTACCTGAGAGTTAGTTCGTGTTTATTAATCTTCTGTATAGATGACAAGAGTAAAACACCGTGTGATAAGGAGCTTGCCCAGGGTCACAGAGCTGATAAGTCTTAGAACTTGGTATGGGAACCCTGACATCTACCTCCAGAGCCAGCCTCCTTTGTCCCTGCCCAGCATAGCAGGTTCCTATGCACAAGGGTTCCTTCCTTGCAGACTTCCTACCTCCTAGTTGGGAGGGCTGCCAAAATGGCTCACAGACCCACCTCTGGGAAGAAAGCAAATTGTGACTTCTGGGGCTTGGCTGCTGGGAGGTCTCTTGGGGCTGAGGAACACTGATGGGACATCAATGGGCTCCAGAGCATGGAACCATGACTGAGGCAGTACAAAATAGGGAAGGCTTGCTGATGGAGTGAGCCAGTCAGTCGGGTGTCCAGAGGGATGTGCATATGCAAAGGCAGAGGGACTGAAGAGTGTTAGGTTCAGGGACGTGAAAGTGGTTCAGGATGTTCCAGGTACCCCAACACTGCAGGGTTTGGGGAGGTGGAAGGTAGAAGCAAGGTTAGGTGAATCCTGAGGATCTGTGAATGGTGAATGCCACAATAAGCAGCCTGCTCTTTATTCTAGGTGTGTAGGGTTTTCAAATGAGGAAGGTTAGATCTGTGTTATAGAAGGATCTTTTAGGAATAGAATCCAGGGTTCTGTAGGGTGTGGTCTGGGAAGAGAGGGAGTCTAGTCCAAAAGAGAGGCCATGGAGCCAGAATGTGGTAGTAATGGGGTGGGAAGGAATCTGCTGAGGCTCCAGAGGCTGTAGGAGCTGTTGATTTGTGGCTCTTCCTGGCCAGAATAAACTGCATCAAATGGAGGGTCCAACTTCTGGTTCCCAGAACAACATGTATAGAGCTTGGAGATCATTCTATGTTTACAACAACAACAGGCCACCAGGAGGGAAAGCAACTACTTACGTTGGACCCATCAGAGAAGTGAGGCTGCAAGGCAAAGTGTCTCCCACCACATCCCCTGGGATCTGAGAGACACGAAAGTCCACTCACAGTAACAACATCAGATCAGTTTATCTACAGCAGAAGCTACTGGAGCTACAAACTGGCAGGGATATTTAAATGATAGTTTTGGTAAATTGATGATGAAGGCTCAGTGTGTGCCTGTGGTAAGTTTTGGCAAATTGAAGGCTTAGCGTGTGCTTGTGGTAAAGATCTAAGAAAAATCCCCTCCTGTCTTTGCCAAGGGATGGGTAAACATTTAAAAATCTGCCCTGGGATTGGAGGTGTGGCTCAAATAGTAGAGTGCCTATTTTGCAAGCATAAAGCCCTGAGTTCAAACCTCAGTCACACACACATACACACACAAAATCTGCCCTAAACTGTACACAATGATAGACACATATAGTCACAACCACTCAAAAAGCTGAGGCAGGAGGATCCCTTGAGCTTAAGAGTTTGAAGCCAATCTGAACAACATAACCAGACCACATCTTGAACAAATAGACATCACTCAGAGTAGTCTATAATAAAAGCCTATTCTCCAGAAAAAATTGATCAGAACTTACCTCAACCAGGGAAGATAATTCCTCAACTCCAGCCAACTTAAGCCTCCCAATGGAGGGAGAATCAAAGCTAAGAGACAGCTGTGAAGGGAGGTGGGGAAGAGCTCTGCTGAGGCCCCAGAGTCTATCAGAGCTGTGGCTCCTGGCCCTTCCTGGCCAGGATCAAGCACATCACTGGCCCTTCACAGAGGGGGTCAACTGTTCTGTAGACTGTTTCTCTAAAGGCCAAATGGATGGATCCAGCTCTGCTAAAAGACAGATTTAATTGTAAAATTGTGACGTGCCTCCTCTTTCCTTAGACCTCCCCGTCACATCAACAGAGCTCCAGTCTATCACTTGTGAATTGTAGCTGAAAGGGTGTCAAGGCACAACACTGAAGAGTTCTTAGGGAAACCCTCATGCAACAGAAGATAAAACCAAGATGGGAAGTTACAGTAAACATTAAACTAAGCCCAGCTCTTAGATAGATTAACATCAGCCCACACCCTGAAGGTCTACCTACCTCAGTTCCTTTACCCAGAAACTCATGTGTCACCAGGCTGAGAGGCAAGATAAAAACAGACTGACAAGACAAAAGAAGCATTAAAAGTAAGTTCAGATATGAAACAGATTTTGGAATTATCAGGAAATTTAAAATAACTATGACTAATAGGCTAATGGAAAAGTAGAAAACATACAAGAACATGTGGGTAATATAAGCAGATGGAAATGCTTAAGAATCAAAGGAAGGGAGGGGGCTAGGAGCATATAACAGAGGGGGTGAACTTGCCCTAAATATACTGTATGCAAGTATGGAGTTTTCACATGAAGCCCCTGGTATTACTAATAAATTTAAAAAAGAAAGTTAATGCTAGAAATAATAAATACTAAAAGCAATGAAGAACGCCCTTGATGGGACCATCAGGGGACTGTACACAGCAGAGGAAAGCATTGGGAAGCTTGAAGATACGTAGTAGAAACTTCCCAACTGGCAGAGTGACTCAAGTGGTAGAGCGCCTGCCTAGCATGTGTTCAAGCCCCAGTGCCACCAAAGAAAGTAAAATAACATGCATATGCACATATTTTTTAAAAGAAACTTCCCAAATGGAAATGCAGAGAAAAAGGAAGATAGAAGATCTGCAGAAGAATTTCCAAAGGTGTTATATATGCACAGTTGAAACAGGAGCAGACAGGGAGCTCAAAGCAGAAGAAACATCTCAGGAACTAATGGCTGGGAACTTTCCCAAACTGAGAGATGTCACACTATGAGTCTGGTAAATTTAGAGAACATCAAGTAGGATTAGAAAAAATCCACCCTATGGTTCAACATACGAAAATCAATAAACGTAATAAACCACATTAACAGAAGCAAAGACAAAAACCACTTGATCATCTCAATAGATGCAGAAAAAGCCTTTGATAAGATCCAACATCATTTCATGATAAAGCTCTAAGAAAACTAGGAATAGAAGGAAAGTTCTCAACATTATAAAACTAATAGACAAACCCTACAGCCAGCATTATACTTAACGGAGAAAAAATTAAACCATTCCTCTAAAATCAGGAACCAGACAAGGATGCCCACTATCTCCACTCCTATTCAAACATAGTACTGGAATTCCTAGCCAGAGCAATTAGGCAAGAAGAAGGAATAAAAGGAATACAAATAGGTGAAAGAAACTTCAAAATATCCCTATTTGCAGACGACATGATCCTATACCTTAAAGACCCAAAAAACTCTACTCAGAAGCTTCTAGACATCATCAATAGCTATAGCAAGGTAGCAGGATATAAAATCAACATAGAA